GCGGATTATTGTTCTCCATAGCCTTCTGGTTAAGATTTTTCTAACTGTCCGTTTTCTTGTACAGTTTGGTTGATACTGCAGTAAAAACATCTCGTAGTGGATATCTACAACGGTGCCTCATAAAAAATCTTGAGAGTCTGAAAGTTAGTTATGATTATACTGTCCGTGATGCAGATGGTTCAATAATTCAGTTTTATTACGGAGAAGATGGCGTTGATGTGCACTGCACAAGCTTTCTAAAAAATTTCAAGGCTCTAGCAGATGTAAGGACCTAGATTCTGTGTGATCTAATTAAAAGAATTGTCTATTTTTATCTCATTATTTTTTTTTATGTCATGCATACTGAATGATAAATAAGACATCCTCTCTTTAATGTTGTTCAGAATCAAGAAACTATTTGCCGAAAATTTCAGAACAAGCAAGAGTTCAATTCTTATATTGAAAAGTTGCCAGATTGTCTTGAAAGGGAAGCAAGGCACTTTATTTGTGACGCAAGAAAAGAGACAGCAGAAGTACAGAAACTGACTGAAATGGAGCACCTACTGAAAGGACGCAAGTCAAAAAAGAAGGAAAACCTATTAGAAGAAAGGAAGGCAACAGAGAAGGCACAAAATGAGTTTTTAGAATTGGTTGAGCAAAAATATCTGTCAAGTCTAGCACAGTCAGGAGAACCAGTTGGTGTCATTGCTGCTCAATCCATTGGTGAACCGTCAACACAGATGACGTAAGTTCATGCAATTCTCACTTCTCTGTTCTCACAATAAGCACTTGCTGTTTTCAAAAAAATAAGAATAAAAATAAGCACTTGCCATTGTTCTTCCTGGTATTTTTAATTTGGAATACATATCCATCATAAAGTTTGTATATTTGAGGGTTTATTTGAACCTTCCATCTCAATGTTTCTCTATACTTTATACTTGGGGTTGTTTCCAAATATTACATTTCTCGAATAATATAGAACATGGAGAACTTATGATGCTGTAGTTTACTTTTAAAAGAAAAAGAAATAGAAATAGAAAAAGATTTGACCCATAAAGAAAAGACGGGGTAAGACAAAGGTCCAATTGGCTAAATAAAGCATGCCAAATGCTATTCCTTCGAGTAATTCGTATGCTTTCAAGAGGTAGTCATGGATGCCAAAATGGTATTATACTTTGATGCTCGGATTCTTCGAAATGGTTCGAGTACCTTTGTTGAACACGATACGACATGGGTATGAGATATGTGTTGGATCTTTCTAGTTGCAACTGGACGCTTCTTCTTTCTTCGTCATTTTTTTTCTTTTCTCTTTCCTTCTTGTTACTGCTCTTTAGAAACCTAGTGCTGCCTCCGAGATGGTGGAGAAAGGCGACGGTGTTAGGTTTTCTCTTCTTCTTCTTTCTTTTTTCTCTCTCTTTCCTTCTTTTCCCTTCTATATCGATGGTCTAGGGTTTTATTTGTCTAAAATGAAAATGGGTTCTATATAGTGCTCCAATAAGTCCAAATTACAATCAAGTTCCTCATTTTTTATTTTATATAACATTTAGTAATTAACTTTTCATAATTGAAAACTAAATTCCAATATTCTATTTTATTCGTCTTAATCCCTTATTCAATGCTCATTTCCTTCTTTGTGACAATTGATTTTGGTCTATTTAAAATGGGTTATTTCACTTGTACATTAAGAAATGTATATCAAGGTGTTCACCCCTTCACATGGAGGGAGATGGACACCTTTATGTCCACCTCGATGTACATTAAGTATAATCCATTTGTAATAACATCTTTGGTTAGTAAAAAAATTGAAACTTGAAAGACGTATCTACGTATCCGTATTCGAAATTTTTACTCTTTTTAGCCATGTCTTTGTATCCTATATTTTAGAAAATAAAAGATTCAACACTTAAATACGTACCCGTATCCAAGTCTGAACATCATAGGTACTGTATGCAAATATCTCTTATTGAAGATAACAATGCCCCAGTTAAGCACTATCTGTTCTGTGATTATATAGTTACATGTTTTTCGAGAATACATTCTTTAATGTGTTCTTATCTTTACTGTTAACAATAAATTTTCTCCTTTATTTACACTATACTGTAACATCAAAATAGCCATGTCTGATTAGATGCTTGTATCTTTTTCAGACTAAACACTTTCCATCTTGCCGGCCGTGGGGAAATGAATGTTACCCTTGGTATTCCTCGTCTGCAGGAGATTTTGATGACTGCATCAGACACTATCAAGACTCCCATTTTAACATGCCCATTCATACGATACAGATCTAAGTGAGTTCTATTATATGTCCATCTTTGCAGTGATAGGGTTTCATTACCAGTATTAGGAGCATGTTTGGCTAAGCTTAAACAAGTTCCTGTTAAGAAACACTCTCTTCAAACATCTCTGGATAGTGTTTTTTTCCCCTTTCCTAAGTAAAAAAAAGTTACTATTGTTAAGTAAGTAACTTATTTCTAATTTTGCCTAAGTAAAAAATATATTTATTATAAAATTTACTTATTTACTTGTATGTCAATTGTGCCCTGGTTCGCTGGTTCTTCAGTTCCATGCTCCACAGGCCAATTTTTGCTCCGTGTTGAGTAATTGATAGGGCTGGCTTGCTTGTATTCCCTCCACCACAAAAAGGAAAAGGCTTGATTTCGGCACTGAAATTAAGAGATCACAATATTCGCACTGCTATTTCCCTGATTTATTTATTTATTCATTCCCTTTTTACATAAGGAAGAAGTAAACTTACCTTTAGAGGACAGTCAACACACGGTTCATTTATCCCCTTATCTTTCACGATAAATTGGATAGACTCAGAAAAAAATAGCATTTTTCTGGAGTGCATGCAAGAATAAATTGATAACTTTGTCTATAATTGCAGGCCTGATGTTATGTCTCTTATTGCGCATATGAAGAAAGTATGTATAGCGGATTTGGCAGAGAGCATGGAAGTTGAACTCTCAATTAATGACCAGCAAGTGGCTAGAATCTACAAGCTGAAAATGAAATTGAAAGCAACTGAATTTGTGTCATTAAAAGACCTACATGCAACTCTCAGATCCACGTTCTTAAGGGGATTGGAGGAGGCAATAGAAAATCACGTGGTGTTCCTATCCAGAATTAGTGGAATTAGAAATTTCACGTTGAGTTCACCGTCAGAGACGTTAAATGAAGCTGACAATAATTCTACAGTTGGATCACTAGAAGAAGACATGGACGATGATATGGATGCTGATGGTGTTGAAAGGGGAGAGGATCTAGGTTCAGATGCACAAAAGAGAAAACAACAATCTACGGACGAGATGGATTATGATGATGGTTCTGATTCCTCTGAAGATGAACCTGATGAAGGTGAGTTATCTTCTGAACTTGAAGAACAAACTGATCAAGATCATCTCGAGGAGGTTGAGAGTAGGAAGGATGAGGAAACTGACTTAGATGACGATGAAGCTTCTAATATGCAAAATGATAATGAAATGAAGTCAGAGTCTAAATCAAGTCGGGGTGGCGTCAAATCAACGGCTAAAAATAAAAGATCAGGAGAAGAATCTTCGGACAAGAAACCGCGCAGGGCAATCTACATTGCAGTTAGAGGATTGCATTTCGAAGTCCACTTTAAATTTACAATGGAACCTCATTTGTTACTTGCTCAGGTATATCTTGACCGTTCAATCCTTTCTCTCTATGCAATGCATTTAGTGAATAACAGGGTACTTCTGGGTAGGACTATGCAGAATAATAAACAAAATTTAGCTTGTTTTTCTTCTTTAATACATGTTTAGTAGTATCTAATCCTCGTTACCAAACTTGCTTGTAGCTAATATGCTAAATGAGAATTTCGTAAAACTAATTTACAGATTGCTCAGAAGACTGCAAAGAAAGTATATATCAAGAGCTCCGGCAAGATCAGTCATTGTAAAATGGTAAAATATGATGCAGATGAAAAATCAGTTATTTGGGACGACGATAACAAGCCAAGAAAGTCCACTGTTAAGGATTTGCAGACAAGCAACGAAGACCTTGATTATTGGGCAATGAAGGCATCAGGAGTCGATTTCAAGTCATTCTGGGAAATGCAAGACGACCTCGATATGAGCCGTTTGTACTCCAACAATATTGATGCTATGTTGGAGACCTATGGGGTAGAAGCTGCTCGAGCTACTATCATAAGAGAGGTGAAGCAAGTTTTTGATATTTACGGAGTAAAGATTGACTATCGACATTTGAGTTTAATCGCGGATTACATGACCCATACGGGGGGTTACCGACCAATGACCAGACACGGAAGCATTGCTGAGTCATTGTCACCGTTTCTTAAGATGTCGTTCGAAACAGCCTCAAAGTTCATTGTAGAAGCAGCTTCTCATGGGATGACCGACAACTTGGAGACACCATCTTCTAGGATTTGCGTTGGCTTGCCTGTAAAGATGGGTACAGGTGGTTTTGACATCATGCAGGAATTGGAAGTATGATGTATAGTAATTTAAGAATTTTGTTACTACCATTTGTTGTTGTTTCCACTGTTCGTGTTTGGTCTTTATTCCTTCTCTCGTAAATGTAAAACCTTTGGTGACATCTAGCAAAAAGAATGAAGAATGCTTTTACTTCTCATCATTAGGGATTGAGATTTTTTTCATCCCTTACGAAGATACAACTACGAGCGAGATATTCATTTTCTAAGAATTTTTTTATAATCTCTCTCTCATTTTTGGTCTAGAAGTAAATATATTATAAATCAATTTGGTCTAGAAGTAAATATATTATAAATCATTCGCATTTAATTGTTTCTTGACCATTGGTGAGGCTGTCGATCAGATTTCAAATGCAAGTCAATTAGGTGCGTTTGATTGTCAATATTTTCTATGAAAAATGGAATTTTTTTTTTCCGTTCAAATTCTTCCTTGATATTTTTTCCGTGGAAAACATTTTCCCACTTTTGGTTACGTGATCATATGTTTCCCAAAATCAAGGAAAATATATTTTTTAGGAGGAATAAGATTTTATTTTTCAGAGAATTCGCTACCTTCCTCTCTTTAATAAAAAATGGACAAATATAATATTTTTTAAGTTGAAAATTAAATTAAACAAACACATTTAATTTATAATTTTCATACAAATAAATTTTAGACAATTAAATTGCCTTGAATTTATTTTATTTCTTGCAATAAAACTCACTCTTAATTATTTCTTTCCTCATTTTTCTCACTTACAGTTGCACAGATCTTTTCCTACCTCCAAACAATTGAAATGGTGAAATCTCAATTTTTGCCCCTAATTGGTTTGGATTAAAATCTAAACTTAATTTAAGTCAAAGTCGAACAATCAATATTGATAATATCTTTTAAGGATCCTACAATTTTTTAACCATACATTTCAAAAATTTCTATTACAATCTGCTAAAAAAATAATTTTAATCTCCACCTTTTATCTTTCAACAAAAGAAATCTCAATAATTTGAATACAATTTTACCAAATTTGTTGCATCATAATCAAGTTTACAGTTTCATATCACTGTATCTTCATCGATTACATTGTATTACCTAAGTTCGATTCCTTCACTAAATGAATCATCCTTCCCATCATAGTTCGAAGATATTTGATAGAAATTATTTTCCAGTGTGGATTTCGTTTCTGAGTGCAACTAATAGAAGCATATTTCATCAAATCCAATCTTTGATCAATGGATTTTGTACGGCTACATAATTTTGAATATGTTACTACCAATTTTGTAAAATATTTATTGGGGATTAACAATTGTCTTGTAATTCAATGTGACATCAGCATCTTGCTGAATATATGTGGCTTCTCCAACCTCAATTCATGGTGACATCAATTTATACATTGCTTATTTATAATCAACGGATTTATTTATAATTACGTTGTGTGATTGTTGTGAAAAATGTTCACTTTGTGACCTCATTTTATCGGACAATTATTCGTGACATATTTGTGACTATTTCCTATGTAGAATATATTTAGGATGCGACAATTGAAAGTGGAAGTTCATATAGCACAATTATGGTGGATTTGTAAGGTGTGTGACTGAAACGTGTTATCTAAGAACTGTGTGAAATATGAGAGAGAAGATGCCGATGACATGCTTATCAAATTTATTCGAGGATTGTGGATCTTTATGTGAGTTATATGATTACAAATTGGTAGTTATACGAATTAAATTATATCAGATAAATAGTGTTGACAACAACAGTGACTAGTATAGCAGCTATGTCATCAATTTAGTAGTTTATAATTAGGCTATGTATCGTAGCACCTGTGTATGTAGTACGTGTGTGACAATTTGCGATAGTTCATGTATTGACGAAATAGTTGTGACTTACTATTGTTTTTGGTATTTTTGTAGCAATTGATTGATCATGTTTTCCTGTTGTGTGGAATCTATTGTGGAAGATGATTGCAATTATATCAAATTTGTTGACATGATAGTATCAAAATTGGGGTTAGATTCTAGGGAGCTCGTAATTACATTGTAATATATGTTGAATAAGATGTTGCCTCTAGTCAGGATATTGAGACGAAAGTAATCATTTGATTATGACCTATAAGTTTGTGTTATTATGACTTAAATTCACGTAAATGTGACTATCTATAGTTTATGTATTATATATATTTGAATAATATGAACAAAATCATCTGATTTTGGAGAAACTAGTATTTCGTACGTTGAATTTTGACTATGATCTATTGATTTGTAAGACGGAAAAATACATGAGCTCTAAACACATCATCAACAAAATATCACATTCTTCCAAAAAAAAAAAAAAAAAAAAATGGAAAATCTTTTTAATGGGTATCAAACAGGGGCCCGATCTAATTTTTGTGCTGTTAATTTAGAAGGAAAGAACTAAAAGTGCTTTCGCATCTATGCTTGACCATTTATAGGGTCTGAGAAAAAGGATATAATGTTACTCATAGGATTAAAGACCTGTTTGATGTAAACTTTTTGAGAATTGATTTTATGAGAAGTGACATTTTTAGAGAATATGGTTAAAAAGTAAGGAAAATTTATGGGTCTGTATGCAAAATTGTATTATTGGAAGTATGTTTGAAAATGAGTTTGAAAGAAACTAAACTGAATAGGATCTAAATTGGTTGGAAACAAAAATAATTAGTTAACAAAAAATTAAACGAAATAATGTTAAATAGTTATACAAAAATCACAAAATTAACTTTTAAAAGTTAAGAGTCACTTTTTTATTAAAACAAGACATTTAATGCCATTTTTATTAAAAGTGATATTTCCAACTAAAAAAATGATTGAAATCAAGAAGGTGATAGAAAAAAGTGACAAAATTAAGCACTCGTTTGGCCCTCATTTTTTGAAATGAAAATGGGTGGAACAATATTTTTTTTGAAAAATGAGTAGTTGAAAATGAATGAAGGGTTTTCGATTATATGTAATATTATTTTATGGAAGATTATATGATTAAAAATAAAAGAGAGAAAAATGAAAAAAATTTAATGGGGCCCAAACGGGCAGATTAAAAAAGTGACAAACACTCAAAAAGTGACAAAATTTTAAAAAAGAGACATTAAAAAAAAAAGTGATACAAATTCAAAAAAAAGTGATATAAAATCAGAGAATTAACAAATCATAATCCACGATTCTCAATATAACCAAATTATCCAATAAATTTACAACTGATGAACAAATAAAAACTTTTGAACTAACAACTTGAACAATACAATTATAATCCAAAAATTTAAATACAACCAAGTTTCTAATAAGCTACCAACTAATGAAATTGATGACTAAATTAAGATGTAAACGTCAATAAATTGTATAAACACTCAACACTGTAAAAGTGACAAACACTTAGAGGGTGTTTGGTAGATATTTTTATGTAAAAATGCATTTTTGAATAGTAAATTGATGAAAAATGTGTGGTTGAAAAATAAGGAAAAGTTTTTGATTTACGTGTAATATTATTTTAATAAAGAATGTGTGGTTGAAAAGAAGAGAGAGAAAAATGCATTTTCAAAAAAAATGAGTACCAAACAGGCTCTTATAAAAGTGACGTAAATTAAAAAAAAAAAGTGACAAAATCTCAAAAAGTAACAAAATATCAATCAAAACCTTAAATTATATATTTTATATAAATTCATAGTTCATCCTTAGCTGAATTTGGATATTCTGTTTCAGACTTTGGCAAAACATTGGAATCAATTCAAATAAAGTGACAAAAAAGTGACATTACCATCGTCTCTCCTTTTTCTCCTTCACCACCAAACATTTTAAGCACCAACAAACCACATCTTACTAATCTCTACTATATAATGAATCTCTAAATACACAAAACTCGAATGCCATAACACCTTAGAAAGTGATATCATGACATATCATTCAACGATTCTTAGTGGTACCGAAAACAGTGTTATTATTAAAACGAATAACGTTTGAAACCATAAAAGCTTGCGAATATTGAAAATCCCAATTGTATGTTACTACTGGGAAGTGGTGGAAGAAGCCCTTTCAGAACTCACCTGCATCAACAATTCATCTAAATGAATTAATATACAATACAGTGCATCTATCACAGTGTGTGCGTGCGTGTATGTGTGAGTGTGAGAGTGAGAGTGAGAGTGAGAGAGAGAGAGACTAAATATGGCGATTTGAGCAACTTCTAATAATTTCTCGGATGCACTTCCAAAAGACCATCGACTTCTTCTCAACCATTTACCAAAATATTCCACGTTCTCTATCGAATAGCATTAAAGTTACAAAATTAGCCTTTATCAACTATGATTGAGTAAGAATTTTGATATTTCATCAAAATTAGACATTTACCTGAACACAAGACACAGTGAGGTAAAAGATTCTAAATGTTCACTGCACCATCAAGCCAAAAATTGGAAATCAAAAATGAAAAACCTTGCAATCTAGAGAAGCCATCATTCGCTCACCCTTTCGAATTTTAAACGCTAGCTTTCAGCCACTAGTGGCATCACGTGGTCCAAAAAACTCGATTTTCTCTTCATCGCCTTCTATTCACTTTCTTCTGTCACAATTCGAGTTTATAATCAGTGGTGTCACATGGGTGAAGCCTTTAATAGGTGGATGAATCACCTTCTTCTTATGGGTGAAACTGTTGCTTCTTCGCGTTGATGAATTGTGGGTTTTGGAGATGTTTATAATTTCTCTCTGTCCCAATTGGTTTTGGGGTTTTCGGGAGACTATAGGATGTAATTATTATTGTCATTAGGGGTTGTAATTTTTTTAAATGTATAAATCTAATTTATTATTGTTTTAGAGTAGTAGGCCTAATTTGCCCTTCTTTAATTTTTCCAACTTAAAAAGAATAGAATGGACCAGTCTCGTTAGATTTTAGGACTAACTACTTGGGTCATGATGGGCCCACTCACATTGATATTGCCCCGTTTTCGGCCCAAATAGAGCATATAAATTGAACACTAGCAACTTTTGCTAGGGTTACACTGCTTTTCTGTGTTGCATTGGAAGGAAAGAAATTTTTTGGCGCCGGAGCTCCCAAATTCAGCAGCCATGGCGAGCACAAAAGTCCAGAGGATTATGACTCAACCAATTAACCTCATCTTCCGGTTCCTCCAGAGCAAAGCTCGTATTCAGATTTGGCTTTTCGAGCAGAAGGATGCGAGGATCGAAGGCCGCATCATTGGCTTTGATGAATACATGAATTTGGTTCTGGATGATGCTGAGGAGGTCAACGTCAAGAAGAATAGCAGAAAGCAACTTGGTAGAATCCTTCTAAAAGGAGATAATATAACGTTGATGATGAATACGGGGAAATGATGCTAAAAGGTAACTTCATCTTCTCCGTAAAACTAGCTGACAAAACTCATCGGTCAAAATTATATTTTCTGCGTGAGACTTGCCTAAAATGAGAATTACTAAAATTATTGTGTGATTTTGTGCTTTACCCCATTTTCTGAGTATTTTTAATAAGAAATATTGCCTAGAATTGTTAACAAGTTTTTCCGAATCCTTAGTTGCATAACTTGCTGCGAATATTAGTGTTACTGATTGTTTCGATATGATGAGATATATAGTAGATAATAATGGTTTATCTATCTTCCATGTGGTGATTTAGTCTTAAGCTTGCATTTTTGTTGGTTTATACAGACTTCATTATTCTGCGTGAAGCTGTTGATAACATGCCTAGTTAGAATACTGAAGCTTTTGTATGGGTTTTTGCTTCCAATTAAATCTTTTTCTTCTGGCGCCCTTAATTTTAAGTGAGAATTATTGAGAAATTGTTGTTGGTGAGTTCTTGTACTCGGTCCAATCATGGGGTGCAAAACTGCAAATAATAACGTGGTCATCTAGATAAAGTATATGAGGCGTGTGAGTGATAAAAAAACAGATAGATGCTTAAGCAAGCAAAATAATGGCTTGAAAGAACTTCGGTTTAAAGGTAGGTAAAAATGCAACTCTACATCTTTTTGGTCATTTTTTTTAACACTATATGATATTGATGCACAAGGATAATTCAAGATTGTGCATTCATTATGAATCTTTGGGAAAAAGTGATTGGAAACTAATGGAGCTTGAATTGACAGTTTCAATGAATTACCGAGTAGAATGAGAAATGCAGTTTTGGCGATGTAGGAAGATTGGAAGAGACTCAGTTTAACATTCTTGATCTGTTGGTGAATTGAGGTTGCAAACAGATGTTTGATATTCAATATTGTGCCCTTTTCTGTCTACCATTCTCCTAAAACTCTTTTTTTCTTTAAAAAAAAAAATAATTAGTTATTTTCAACTACACATTCTTAGAATAAAATATTTTGTACATAAGGTTTTATTTTATTTATTCTTTTTTTAAGAGTTTTCGGAGAATGGTAGACAGAAATAAACTCAACATTTCTAACCACAGTCTGCAAAAAAATCACTATTTGGAAACTCATTTTCTCAAAAAAAAAAAAAAAAAAAAAAAAAAAAAAAAATTTTTAAAAAAAAAAAAAAAAAAAAAAAAAAAAAAAAAAGAAAGAAAATCTTTTTAATGGGTATCAAACAGGGGCTCGATCTAATTCTCGTGCTGTAAATTTAGAAGGAAAGAAATAAAAATGTTTTCGCATCTATGGTTGACCATTTATAGGGTCTGAGAAAAAGTATATAATGTTACTCATAGGATTAAAGACCGGTTTGATGTAAACTTTTTGAGAATTGATTTTATGAAAAGTGACTTTTTTAGAGAATATGGTTAAAAAGTAAGGAAAATTTATGGGTCTATGCAAAATTATATTATTGGAAGTATGTTTGAAAATGAGTTTGAAAGAAACTAAACTAAATAGGACCTAAATTGGTTGGATACATGGCGTGGGATTTTTCTCGACCACCTAGTATTAGCTAAATTAGGACAGTATTGAAATGTGGTTATTAAGAGCATATCCGATAGTGGTATAAAATTGAGTGTAAATTGATGTCTCAAAAATTACTTTTGCATTCTCATTTACATCTCAGTAGATCTAAATCCAAGTTTTGCTCTAATGGGAAAATTTAAATCTACTTTGCCTCGTGGGTGTAAAAAAAGATGTAAATTTATATATTTTTTTTACATTTTCTACTGGAGAATACAATCTGTATCTCCTTTGTATCTCTCCATTGGAGAGGTTTCTTGTCACTTTGGAGATCTAAATCTCTATTTTACATCTATCTTTACCCAACCATTGGAGATGCTCTAAGAAACAGTGTATACCAATATTTATGGGAAAAGGTTATGGTATGTACCAAAAGCATTTGCAAAATAAAACAGAATCAGGTGGTTTGGATTTTTTTATTATCCTCGTCATTTACCAGTCTTGCCAAGGTCTCGGTTCTAATCAGTATCATTTTTCTGTTTTACTTGGTCAGCTGAGTAAATCTTAAAGTGTTCAACATCAAAGTAGAATACTTTCTTTCTATATTTGAATTTCTTCATTACCTACACTTTTCAAGTTGAAAAGATTTATGCACTTTGGCCATCACTATATGTTTGATCTTGGAACTAACAGAACTCAGTTCACTGCAACTTTCAGAGTTGTGGCATTATTGAGCTTTGTAGGAAATGAATGGTTGATAGTTAGTTTCATTTTCTTATAAATGCAGTGTCGATATGTTTATGAGCATAGACCTTTAATTCAAAGTCCAAATATTTACAGTTTCGTACCTGTCAAGGACTTCAGTGTTGTATGTCACCAAAAACATATATTCCTGCTGAACTAATCAAAAGAAATAAGTACATTGCAAGGGACCAAGAATGTATCCAACAATTATATATGTTTCTTTTGGGATGAATATTTAGGTGTCCCCAGCAACTATATATAGACTTGTAATTAGAAAGAAAAATACGAAGATGTTGAGGTCATGTCTCTTGGTGAACAATGAGATCCAACATTATTTCTTTACGTATCTGTACTACTTTCTAACATTTTGTACTAGTGATCTGGAAATGCCCTTTTTCACATTTCTTCAATTTTTTTGATGGGGACATTTCCGTAATTCATTCTGTAAAAAGTTATGAAAACTTCCTTTTTTTTCAACAATTACGGCTGCTTCCTTGTTACAATGTACAACGGTTGGAAAAATGCTAAAAATCTGCAAAAAAGAGTCAGACAGGGTCTCACACATGAGACACTTATCCTCCAATCCATGCTTTTCCTACTACTTGATTGTTACCAGATTAGGTCAATCCCTAGTTAAGTGTGTGTCTAACTATTTATTGATGGTGGATACAAAATTGACAAAATTGCAGTAATGGCTATTTTACCCTGTCCGTGATAGTGATTTATACTGATTCTGACTTTTGGTTGCCTGCTCTTATTCCTGCAGATTAAAAATGCAATAGGTGAAATCCAGAGGCGACTGGCTAGTAATGTGTACCTCAGATTTCTGGCAGCGAGTTTGTATGAGAATGCCTTGTTTAGTTAAATTCTATTTTAAACAACTTTATCCGGTATTTTAATTGTATCTCATCACTGTTTCTCAGTCGAGCCTTCTCTGTATACATTTGTGTCTTGTTCAATGAACTGCTAGCTAGCACTTGAAAATAGGAATGAGGTAAACTGTTTCTTATTTTTTACATGTCTCTACATGTTGAAACTAATCGTGAGAGGAGTTTTTTGGTTTGCTCCTAAGGAAGATGAATCGCATTACTAAGAACAAGGTCAGATATTACATGATAGAGAGAGATTTCAGTTGGGTTTTCAAGATGACATTAGATTTAAGGCTGTTTATGGTTGCTTGGTATTGTGTCTCAACCTATCCCTGTCAGGTACAGCTTTAGGCGAAATTTCATTCATATATGATATTTTTTCGTTCTTTCAAATTTTAATTTGACGAGGACAAGCACTATCTATATCTGGTTAACTTAACGTTTGCATATGATGCCTTAGTCGAAGATAAGTTCTCTTGAATGACCCGTAAGAATATGGGTGTAACCTAAGACGAGTATGGGATTTGACAGTTTTATAAGGACATGAAATGATGAATGTATCTGAATAATATTAATTAGGCTTTGCACTTGGACTGCTTGGATTGCTTAATAGCCATAATTGATTGTTTAAAGCCTGCATTCATACGTGTCTTTTGTGTCGACTTGAAACATCTTGAAATCTCGAGGGTATAAACGCGCATTATTACCCTGTTAGAAAATTCCCATTTTCAAGTTGAAAAGATTTATGCACTTTGGCCATCACTATATGTTTGATCTTGGAACTAACAGAACTCAGTTCACTGCAACTTTTTAGAGAGTTGTGGCATTATTGAGCTTTGTAGGAAATAAATGGTTGATAGTTAGTTTCATTTTCTTATAAATGCAGTGTCGATATGTTTATGAGCATAGACCTTTAATTCAAAGTCCAAATATTTACAGTTTCGTACCTGTCAAGGACTTCAGTGTTGTATGTCACCAAAAACATATATTCCTGCTGAACTAATCAAAAGAAATAAGTACATTGCAAGGGACCAAGAATGTATCCAACAATTATATATGTTTCTTTTGGGATGAATATTTAGGTGTCCCCAGCAACTATATATAGACTTGTAATTAGAAAGAAAAATACGAAGATGTTGAGGTCATGTCTCTTGGTGAACAATGAGATCCAACATTATTTCTTTACGTATCTGTACTACTTTCTAACATTTTGTACTAGTGATCTGGAAATGCCCTTTTTCACATTTCTTCAATTTTTTTGATGGGGACATTTCCGTAATTCATTCTGTAAAAAGTTATGAAAACTTCCTTTTTTTTCAACAATTACGGCTGCTTCCTTGTTACAATGTACAACGGTTGGAAAAATGCTAAAAATCTGCAAAAAAGAGTCAGACAGGGTCTCACACATGAGACACTTATCCTCCAATCCATGCTTTTCCTACTACTTGATTGTTACCAGATTAGGTCAATCCCTAGTTAAGTGTGTGTCTAACTATTTATTGATGGTGGATACAAAATTGACAAAATTGCAGTAATGGCTATTTTACCCTGTCCGTGATAGTGATTTATACTGATTCTGACTTTTGGTTGCCTGCTCTTATTCCTGCAGATTAAAAATGCAATAGGTGAAATCCAGAGGCGACTGGCTAGTAATGTGTACCTCAGATTTCTGGCAGCGAGTTTGTATGAGAATGCCTTGTTTAGTTAAATTCTATTTTAAACAACTTTATCCGGTATTTTAATTGTATCTCATCACTGTTTCTCAGTCGAGCCTTCTCTGTATACATTTGTGTCTTGTTCAATGAACTGCTAGCTAGCACTTGAAAATAGGAATGAGGTAAACTGTTTCTTATTTTTTACATGTCTCTACATGTTGAAACTAATCGTGAGAGGAGTTTTTTGGTTTGCTCCTAAGGAAGATGAATCGCATTACTAAGAACAAGGTCAGATATTACATGATAGAGAGAGATTTCAGTTGGGTTTTCAAGATGACATTAGATTTAAGGCTGTTTATGGTTGCTTGGTATTGTGTCTCAACCTATCCCTGTCAGGTACAGCTTTAGGCGAAATTTCATTCATATATGATATTTTTTCGTTCTTTCAAATTTTAATTTGACGAGGACAAGCACTATCTATATCTGGTTAACTTAACGTTTGCATATGATGCCTTAGTCGAAGATAAGTTCTCTTGAATGACCCGTAAGAATATGGGTGTAACCTAAGACGAGTATGGGATTTGACAGTTTTATAAGGACATGAAATGATGAATGTATCTGAATAATATTAATTAGGCTTTGCACTTGGACTGCTTGGATTGCTTAATAGCCATAATTGATTGTTTAAAGCCTGCATTCATACGTGTCTTTTGTGTCGACTTGAAACATCTTGAAATCTCGAGGGTATAAACGCGCATTATTACCCTGTTAGAAAATTCCCAAGGAAATGACTAGCAAAGGAATGCATTTGACAACCACAGGATTCCTGCATTTTGTGGTATATAATGAAGCAACTCTTGGATGCTTAGTCTGTTTCCCATTGTTATACATTATTGAAATTAATATGTTTCCATGCAAGTGGAAACATATCACACCAGGGAAAATAACTGCATTCATAGGTCTTTTTGTAGCCGTGCTGTCACATGGTATGCTTTTATTTATAGGTATTGCTTATATCCTGCTTGATGTCTATAGTGATGCTGCCTACCTGCGTCTCTATCTCAAATGCACGGACGAGCACCACAGTAAATGCATTGCTTAGCAACACATAGCCATGTTCGGTGGAATTTAAAATTCAAATTTTAATCTAAGTCAAAATCAGCAGTTAATTTCAATAGCACATTTTCCCCTCATTTGGCCCCCATTTTGTGGTAATGAAAATGGGCGGAATATCTTTTCTTTGAATAATGAGTGGATGAAAATGAAGGAAAAGTTTTCAATTTATTTGTAATATTATTTTATAAAAGATTGTGTGGTTGAAAATAAGAAAGAGAAAAATGAAATATAATGGAATGAAAATTAATAGGGGGGGACAAACGGTGTCTTTTTGGGAATCACAATGTTTCAGTAACACATTTAATGAACTTTTATTAAAATTTATTGAAAATCTGATTTTAATCCTTATTAAATAGGGGTTCAGTGTTATCTAAGTAATTGGAATCAACACAAATTTGCATCCATGGTGGTAGTGCTGAGCAACGTTTTATTTGGATACATTTTAACCAATTTTCAAACAAAATTACTTAGGGTGTGTTTGATTACAAGTATGAAATTTGTTTGGAAAGAAAGTGAATTTTAAACAATTTAATTGCTTATAATTTATTTGTATGAAAATTATTAATTAAATATGCTCAATTGATTTAGTTTTCAATCAAGAAAAATGTTGTACTTGCTTCTTTATTGATGGGTAGATGAGTGGGAATGAATAGATGAGAAACAGAAAGAGTGAGTGAATTACTTGGAAATAAAAACCTTCATTCCTCGAAGAACATATTTCCTTGCTTTTTTTTTAAAAAAAAATGATTACATGATCAAAAGTTGAAAAATATTTTTAATGAAAAAATTGTTAATCAAACATTTCAAAAATAAGAATTTAGATGGAAAAATCAACTTTTCATAAAAAATAAAGCCAATCAAACACGCTTAAAGCGATTTGAAATTTTTTCAAATTAAATCAATTTATTTCAATTTTTAAACCAATCAAATTTTTTCTTTTTGATCTGTTTAATAAAGAAAAAATAACATATTAAAAAATTAAATTATAAATATTAGTGCAAAATTTCATGTTAAAAAATAAATACTATTATTAAAACTTTTATGAACCAAAGATATAAAATTTTAATAATTATGATGCAACAATATGATACAAACATTTTAGCCTCTTAATCAATACTAATTGGCTCAATATCTACAACTGTAATACATTATTGATTCTCTTCATAAAAGTATATAAATTCATTGATTATAGTTAAATGATATAAACTAATTAATAAAAGAAAATGAATAGAAAGATTTAATACAATAATACTTTTTATAATTTTTTGTGAATCGTTCAATAATTCTGCCTCAAATATTCACGAATCATTAAAGTTTTTTCTTTTTATTTTTATTTTTATTTTTTAAATTACTATGCAATCACTTTTTAGGGCAAATCCCAGTTTCAACCATTTTTGAATCCAATGAATATTTAAAGGAATCAAAAATTTGACCACTAGTAAGAAATGTAGACTCAGAAATAATTATAGACATTTGAATAGCTAAAACATCTTTAGCGATTCGAGAGGACAATTTTGTATTTATTTGCATTAAATATTTACTAAAGTAGTGTCGAAAGGCTTATTGGTCAAATCTTCAGAACGGCTATTTAAGTAATCCACCAAATCATTCTTAACAATTAACAGTAAAATTTAGAAATGAAGTTAAATGAAAATAATTAACCGACTAACTTAACTTGAAAATTGAGACACAAATAAATAAGATAATACTGTCCTCCTAAAATTAAAAGGAGTTCGGCACAAAGTAGAACAAAACAATGTAACTACTGAAAAAATATAGCTAATAATTACCAAAAATAAGAAAATTTGGAAAAACGTATCTAAAAATTTAGTCGAAAATCGAGAAAATTAATAGTATTTTGAATTAAAATTTAGATTTAATTATCTTGTCGATTTTAATGGATGGTTGATGAACATGATTCAATAGTAATCGTTCAACACTTCATCCAATTTGAGGGTTTTGTATCACAATTATGATGACTGATGGGTATTTGAGTATAATTTAATTAATTAATTGAGATGTATAATTGTCTATTTAGATGTTGAGTTTAATTGGATTATATCTAATATGGATGTTTTTTTTTTTAATTGTGATACATTTAGTTTCAATTGGGTTATATATAATTTAAATTAATTTTTGTTTCTGGCGATTTTGTAACGATTTATAAAGATTGAAACATAAAGTGAATTAGTTCAAAACGGTTTGGTACGATTCAAGATCAAAATGTTAATGGATCCACATAGACCCAGAACAAAGATTTTAAAAAAGCAAATTCAGTTCGATTTTGTGATTTGACAGTTTCGTTGTTCAAACATACTGTAGGTTCATCCAACAAGAGAGAGAGAGAGAGAGAGAGGAGGAAGTGAGGTTGTAGTA